TTGGAGTCTCTTGCCAGGAGGGATTTTATGGCACTGTACACAGGAGAGCTGTTACCCTTCCCTTTATAGTTATGACATTTATCATCACATCCATCCACCCAACCACCCACAAGTTCACCAGATGTCTGAAGTGGTTTAAAAAAAAAAAGAAAGAAAATGAGAATCTGTGACAAGAGTGACAAAGATGTAGCCATAGCAACAACAGTTATATTCATTCTATGACAGCATGTGATGATTAAGTATTAATATTAGTTTAATTTTTTGGAAGGGACAGTAGTATGTTACAGAGGCAATGGCAAGTATACTAGGTAACTTACGGATGAATCATTTTCTTTTTTTATTAAAGCAAGTGTAAATATACAAATCAGAAAAAAAAAAACATTTTAACTTGTTTCCTAGTCTTTTGTTTTCAGTAACACTAAGGACCTAATTTTCTAACCTAAAAGAAGCAACTGAATAGCAGGAAAAGGGCTCCTCAAGCATGGTAGATAAATGCAAAGCTGACCCTAGACCAAATGGCACCCCAGGCAAGGAACATCTTTGGTGCCCCCCACTCCATTTGTTAAACTTTTGAATATCTTATTTTTTATTGCATTTGTTGCTTATTTAATGACTTTGATGCACGATTTGCATGTATGATTTAACCCTATCATATAAGATGATAAATTTGCATGCTAGGATCTGTAAATCTGCGAGCCCGGTGCCATCCCAAGCCCTGCACCCCAGGCAGTCGCCTGGATCACCTGCCCCTAAATCCAGCCTTGGATAAATGAATACCTTACCATCTCCTCATTCTATTACAGCGTTGTGGAAGGCACGCTAGAATTAACTTTGAAATGGTATTTGCATTCTAAGGGCTAGATTGTGCCTTTAGGCAAAGCACTGAACTAGGGTTGTGCATACACTGCATCATCTCCAAAGGCACTGTGCATTACAGGCATCTGAAGCATAATTCCCCACTCTGCTTCCTCCTTGCTCCATGAAGGTATAGTAATTTGCTGCTGGCCTATACCAGCTGCAAATTGCAGTAGCCCTCAACACTGGCCTAAGCTGTGCTGCCCAGTGCATTGGGGGATTGGAGAGAAGGTTCTGCCCACTCCCACCTACTCTGGGAGAAACAGAGTAAGCAGGTATGCAGCACCCGCTTACCTCTGAATGCTTGGGCCCAAGGTCCTGATAGACCATGCAGAGATGTAAGTAGTTTTTCGCTCCCTGAAGCAAACACAAAGTCCAAAATCTAGCCCTAAACTGCTATTTTCATTAGTTTATAAACTCTTTTAATAAACAAATGAGGCATATGGGTACCCAAGATGCTTTGTTTTAACTCATAAGGGATTTCAAAACAAAAACCCTAAAAAACAAAACCTTCTGGAATAGCAACATAGCTTGTATTGGTCTGAGATGACCAGTAAAGCTGAAATGTTGCATTGGTGACAACTTCCCAGTCTCCCAAAGTGTCAACATGATGAATCAACAACATGGTATTTAAATATGAATAGTCATTATTGGCTGCATAATGATTGCTCCAAGAGCATTTTGACAACAGAGGAAAGAGAGTCTAAGTTTCTCTTTTTTAACAGGTGGGGCAACTTCCTGGTCTTTATGAAAAATCTACATCCTGGAAAGTTTGGTTACACACTGCAGATCCGTTTCACATTCAACACCATCCAGAGCAGAGTTTCTCTCTAAGTTTCATCATTGCTTTAGTGTTGCTTGTCCAAGACACTGTGCCTTAAATTATATAAACACATCCAATTACTATCTTCCCTTTTCAAGACAAATACAGGTTTCTTGTAAAACAATCTGTTGCATAAATGGTGCCTATAAGTTCACCTCATACTGTGGTTATCTGATCAGAAACTTCCTGCTTGGGACCTGCAGCTAGTAGATTCTAACAACTCTTTCAACCCACATGAGACAAATTATTTCTGATCACGCCACTAGCTTCCATCAAATTTCAAGCCCTACCAGACATCCAGACATTCAACTGACGGTCAGCTTGGGAAAATGAAACAGGAAAGATGATTCACCCTCAACCCCCCATGCCTAGGGGAAATGAGGATGTCAGCTGATGGAAGAGGTTCTGTTTCACCCCTACAGATTAATTCCCTTACCACAAAACGTACCCGTGCGAATAGTCTAGTCTCACTGAAGCCAGTGGAACTACTCATGCAAGAATGTGCCGGACTGGGATCATCTTGTGTACAACCTCTTCCACGCAAACTGTGTATCTTCAAAAGGCTTTATAGAGTGAAGCAGCGGTACAGTTAATAAGTAAGGCGGGGAGGGGGAGAAGGAGGGCAACCAAAAATAAAGACACCCTCCCCCCTTCTGTTTGGAAAATTAGCACAAAGCTGTAAGTCTGCCTCCCTTGGCCGTGCCACTCAAACCCTCCCTTTCATGCATAGGTGGAGATAATTATTCCCAGGCGGCGGCAGCTGGTGCATCTCCCTAACGAGCAGTACTCCTCCCCAGCTAGCCCCCCCAGAGCCCGAGACTCCCCTTCCTAGCAGCCCCCTTCCCCTCCCATTGTTCCAGCTTAGGCGCAGACAGACCCTAGCACAAGAGCTCACCAGAAAACCGCGCCTGGAGATCATCGAGGGCTCTCTCAGTGCACTGCCTCAGCGCAGCATTGGTTGATGTTTCCTTGCTGCTTGGATACTTCCTGGTTAGCTGATCTGCAGGCGTGGCTCCCTCTTGTTTCATTCATGCTCAGCCGGTCCTAGCTTTCGATGTGCTATAGAAGAACCTGTTTGCCGGGCGCGCCTCCCCCCACCTCGCCCCTCTGATAAGGAAGCAGCGCCACATACAATGCAGGAAGAAGCAAGCTGCACAATGTGCTCAGTGCACAGAGAAGAAGCTACAGTACGTGAGAGACACAGCTCCTTCCCGTTATACACTTAACCTGTCCCGTGTATCACTCAGCAGCGCTTCAGACTCGGCGTGGTTAGTCGCCCATATATGCAGCGTGCTGCAGAACCTTAGACATTTAATTCCAAAACAGTTTTGTTTCAATTCTTACAAATAATTTCTGGTTAAAAGGCAAAACTGTCAGGTCACCGGTTTGGGCACACATTTTAGGTTTTGTAAACATCGTCCTACCTGAAATGCACTGTAGATGAAAACCCTCAAATTCAATGGAAAAGAAAAAACGTTCTCCCGCCTTGTTCGATACACAATTGAAGCAACATTGTGCTACTTTCAGTAGAATCTGAAAGCGAAACTGACTAGAAACAAGAGTGAAAGTGATTGGTGTATTTTTATTGGACAAGCCAAGAGAGGCAAACAAATATAAAATGATGGAAAGCAGGACCAATTCCCAACTAAATCATCCCAGCCAGGGCTATGTCAAGCCTAACCTTAAAAACCACCACCTCCCTAGGTAATCCATTCCAGTGCTTCACCACTCTCCTAGTGAAAAAGTTTTTCCTAATATCCAACCTAAACCTCCCCCACTGCAACTTGAGACCATTACTCCTTGTTCTGTCATCTGCTACCACTGAGAACAGTCTAGACCCATCCTCCTTGGAACCCCCTTTCAGGTAGTTGAAAGCAGCTATCAAATCCCTCCTCGGTCTTCTCTTCTGCAGACTAAATAATCCCAGTTCCCTCAGCCTCTCCTCATAAGTCATGTGCTCCAGCCCCCTAATCATTTTTGTTGCCCTCCGCTGGACTCTTTCCAATTTTTCCACATCCTTCTTGTAGTGTGGGGCCCAAAAAGGGACACAGTACTCCAGATGAGGTCTCACCAATGTCGAATAGAGGGGAATGATCATGTCCCTCGATCTGCTGTCAATGCCCCTACTTATACAGCCCAAAATGCCATTAGCCTTCTTGGCAACAAGGGCACACTGTTGACTCATATCCAGCTTCTCATCCACTGTAACCCCTAGGTTATATTCCTAAACTTTTGTTTTAATCAACAAAAGATATTATTTGTAAGGGTTTAAAAAAAACCACCATGAGTTTTAACCTGACACTTTTAATTTGTGCATTCAGGATTTTTTTGTTTTACTATATAGTTCCTACTTATCAAATGTCATCAGTTTGATATGTGGTACAGTCATTGGCCCTGATCCTTCAAAAACTTATGCAGGTGTTTAACTTTAAGCAATCTGAGGAGTCCCATTGAATTCAATAAGGCTATTCTCCTAGTACTGCCATCTCAAATGTTCAAAAATTATGAGGCAGATTCATGAAACTGGCTTAAAAATCATGATTAAAAATTAATATTGGGTTCTTTTTGTTTGCCATCTGGTTTGTGCATTTGCGTCACATTTTAAAACTTCTAAATAACCATGAAGGCTAGAAATTTACATTTTTAAAAGCAATGAAAGCTGAACTGCTCATGTATATACTTGATTCCTGTCGCTGGGCTTAAATAAAAATACTAAATATCGCTAGACTTGTGATAACATTGTGGGAGTGGGTTAGGGTGACCAGATGAGGGAAAGGAAAAATCAGGACACATGGCGGGGGAGCAAAAAAAAAAAAGCCAAATCAGTCCCTGCCGGCAGAGGGAAAAAAAAAAAAAGCGCTGCCAGAGGCTATCGGGACAATTTTATTCGGACGTCTGGTCACCCTAGAGTGGGTAACACTGCTCACCATGCACAAAGAACATGTCTGAGACGTTTCAGGATCAGACTCTTTGTCAAGAGACTAGGTCCTACATTTACAGGAAGATGGACTTAATCTAATTCCCTTCCCACCTGCTCTAATTTGGACAAACCCTTATTTCAGTTATGTTTTGAAGAATCTGTTTATTTTATTCAGTACCCAGTAACGTAAACAGTTATGGAGTAGCAGCTTTAATTATCCTCTACAGCACAGACAGTTTCTATTTTGTATAATGTAATATCCTTGGCTCCAGCAGGCTGCTTACAAAATGTCTCACAGCTCTCACTGGAAAGTTATGCTTCATTTCATTTTCTCCCTTGTACTGCCTATCCCAGCTTTCACAGTTAAACAAACTCATTAGCTCCTAACATGATTTTACTTATGCCTGATCCTGCAAACATACATGCTCAACTTCACTACCATGGGTAGGCCCATTCATTTCAATGGGACTATTCAAAGTAATAAAGTTAAACGTGGTGTTTGCAGAATCGGGTCCTTGGCAGTACATTGAAGCTTAGTAAAATTACACTAGATAGTTGTGATCTTGGGTAGCCATTGTGCAGCTTGCTTTTTCTGACAGTTGACAATAGTGGCCATTGTCATTATATAAACACCTTCAGAAAGAGATTTTTGAATTCAGTTTCCAAAGACAGTCGTTTATGTGGTGTCTAAAGGAATAGCTCCACTATATAAGCTATTGGAGAGAGTTGTTTTATATAACTAGGCCCACAATATTCCAGTACAGGCCCAAACAAATACTTCATTTGCTTTCCCACTTTAGAGACAGCCCTTGACTTCCTCCTCCACGCAGAGTAGTTGGCATTCACAACTATTCAAGTTGGGGAAAAAAATGATCCCTGCCTTGGAAGCTAAAGTGTTGTCCTGGATTATGATCAATCTTATCCTCAAAGTAGAACATTTCTGGTTCACAGGTAATCCAGTAATTTAGGACCAATTTCAGAAAAACAAACACTCCTACTCTGTATGTTAAATGTTTAGTTTTGGCACAACTAGTAGAGAGGAATGTCATACAGTATGGGCTAAATTGTGACTTTATCACAAACCCTGGCAGTACATAGTTGCCCAGTCACAATATGGCCCCTTGTTCCCTCATTACTCCAGAGAAGAAATGATCTGCCTCAGCCTGATGCCTGACAGGGACTACATCCCCCTTCACAGTAGCTCAGCAATGCTGGCTGGCTCATTGGAGGTGGAGCTAAAGCTCTATTCACTCCCCATCTGTGCAACAAGTGGGGAACCAGGGCCTCAAGGAAGTTGCTCTATCGCTACACTGCTACTCACTATATGTGTAATCCTTACAGGGGAAGGCAATTTATGCCCCCTTCTTCCACTGTTGAGGAGCATTGGGTAAATTGCCCAATATGAGAAAACTTGATATGTGGCTGGGGAGGAAACATCAGCTACATTCTACTAATAACTACAGCACAGACAATGCAGGGAAGCATGACATTATTGAGCTATTGATGGGAGCCATCAGTCTGGGCTGCTTCTTTATCAATATGCTGATTTTTAAAAAAAAATTCTATTTTATGGACCGTTTAACAGAGAGAAAAATAGAAAGAGGGTGCCCTCCTATGAAACACAATTTGCATAATTTGAATAATGCCATTGCCCTTTTCTGCCAGCACCAGAAGACACTCAGGCAATGTTTACTCTGACTGACGTAAAAAGTGAAGATTTGCACTCTTTGCAGCAGAACGGTCAGATACCCTAAAGTAACATTTGTTTATATGCAAAACTACTCAACATAAATTATATTCTTACCATTACATGCACAGCCTCTTGTCTTTTTTAAGTCTGTTTTGACCTGGTTATGTTATCTGATGCCTACTCTCCTAAAGTACATAAGCTTGATTTGGTAACATCCAGTCCCTGATTGCAAACATCTCCTTAAAATAAATAAACCAACAAATAAATAAAAACAATTCTCCTCTTAAAGCTGAAAATGCTGCTCTTATTGAGATCAAATAAAAATCTCTTCCAGACCGTTCTTCTCGAACACCAGAAACCGCTGCTGCATTTAGCACAGCTGCCAGCAGCTAAACTTGCCAAAAGCCAGCAAGTAAGCAAGAACACATATAAAGAGTGACAGGAGTCTGTGCCTGCCAGTTACACAAGAGAACAGTGGCAGGGAGAATCAGAAGGTCAGCCTCCAGCCTGAGATGCAGATAGTGATATGGCCAGGAGTAAAGAATTAAAAAAAAACATTGAGAGGAGAATACATAATCCAGAGCACCATGCAAAATAATTGTTGGGTTTTGATGACGTTTTCTTTATAGAAGGTATGTATGAGGATGGCAGTATGTTGTTGGATTGATTATACAAACCATTTCCTTTCTTGCCACGCCTGTTCCAGCATTCACATTGCCCAAAAAAAAGAGAAAAGTTTGTGCTTATCTCCAAAAACAAACAGTTATTATGCTCTGTATATTGACATATCCTTGACTACATCCCTGCTGACATCACAGCCTGAAAAAGTACTCCAATTTCCTGGGTAAAAAGTCAGTTTAATTTGTACAGAATTAAGGTGTACTCTTAACTCCTTAAAGCTCTGACTCAGCAAAGTACTTAAGTTCATGATTTGAAGTCAATGGGAGTTAAGCATATTTTTTAATGCTTTGCTGAATTAGGATGCTTTGTTGAATTGGGGCCTTAATACAGAAATTCTGTAATACAGCCTGTAGCCACATATAGCATTTAGATGTACACAGCTGGTTTCCCTCCCAGTATGTTATATTGCATGATCTCATTTTCATGTCTTATGATTAGCCTTTTATGTATATGCAGACAGTTTCAGAAGCTCAAAAAAGCTAATGCCTTCTCTAGCTAATAATGGGTTACTATTTCCAAAGAAGTAGCAGTATTCCGGGCATGGGTACAACTATTGGTCTTCATTTGTTTTTATTAATTTTAACAGCCTTTGTCTCCCCAACAGAGGACATGGGATATTATATGAACAATTTACATCAAAATTGGGGCCAGTCCAGATATAACCAGCCGTCAAACCTTGGCAAAGAAAAAAAATCCAAAAGGAAGAGCTGGTAACAAAAGGGAGGGGGGAAATAGCTATAGGTGCAGTGGATTTATATCTGGATTTATATCCTCTTAAGACAGCCAATAAAAAACTCTGGTCATCCTTAGGAAGGGAGTTCAACAGGCAGTTCCGGAACCCAGATGTTTCTGTTCTAGCCT